TTTTTCTCCTTCTTCCCCCTCTTCTTCTTTTACTTCCTCTTCTTCTACATCTTCTTCTTCTTCTTCTTCTTCTTCTTCTTCTTCTTCTTCTTCTTCTTCAACTTCCTCTTCTTCTTCATCATCTACCTCCTATCGAAGTCGCGTTGATGTTAACATGCCAGGTTCTTCTGTCGGGACAGGGATGAGGTGCACCTTGACTTTGGAATACATCATCTATGCCATCATCATCATCTATGCCATCAACATTATCATTCTATTGCGGCCACCGCCCTCTGTGCCAAACTTCTTCTTCTTCTTCTTCTTCGTCGTCGTCGTCGTCGTCGTCGTCGTCGCCATCATCTATGCCTTCCTCTTTTTCGCTGGGACCTTCCCTGGTTCTTGCACGGCCAGGCCGCCCAGAGAAAAAGGGTGACCCGGGTGGCCCGGCTGGTAGTTTAATAATATAAAGAATATATAATATATATCTATCTATATATATACAGAGAAAAAGAGAGAGTGTGAAGGTAACTCATTACATAGCCTCGTCCACGTATGAAGCAAGAGACGAATATTTTAATAAGAAAACCGGGAAAAGAAAAAAGTAAACACTCTGTCTGATAGGAGCCTAAAGTTTGAGGAATGCGAGGATGTTATTTTTAGACAACGCGATTACTCTAATGCCGTGTGTGCAGGCCCATCACTAATACATCGATCGCAATTTTTTTACTTTTATTTTTTTTAATCGAACGAACAACGAGTGTCAATGGCGGTTTCGGAAAGTCATTCATCTCAAAATACTCTTCTTTTTTTCTATATCTAACTGATCAGAACCGATACTACTCTTGATCTTCCGCCAAAACGCCAGGCAGTCGTTCGCAAAATAAATCCGTTAGAACTGGAACGATGTCCTTCGGGATATTCGTTGAATTTAAAATTGGAACGATACAGCGAGAGAAAGATTAGCATGGCCCCTGTGCACGGATAGCACACGTAAATCGAGAAATGGTCCAAAAAAAAAAAAAAAAAAAAAAAAAAACCCTGGAACGATAAAAAGAAGGCCCCTGCGCATCTACGGATGAGACGCACCAATCGATAAATGGTCCAATAAAAATTAAAATGGAAAAGAAACGAGGAGAAAGGCACAATAATTGCCGAAGTCAGATAAGATAGAAGATCTCTTTTATACATACAGTTTCTTCCAATATATCTTTGCTGGTTTTTACTTCGGCGTCCCGCGGGAGGGAGAGGGGGGGGGGGAGAGGGGGGTGCAGCAAGTACAGGATCACATACCACACACCATCATTTTTTGCGAACCACGATAAGTCTGACAGAATGCGAATAAAAACCACGACAAGACTACAGAATGCGAGTTCCAACCACGATAAGACTTTCTGATTAAAAAAAAAAAAAAAAAACACGAAAAACACATTTTCCAAAAAAAAACACGACAAGACTCACATTTTCCAAAAACACACGACAAGACTCACCAAAGCAAAAAAACACAAAAAAAGAAAAATAAATAAAATCAGGAAATGAAAGAAAAAGTTGAAAAACACGATAAGACACGGAATCCGAGTTCGAACCACGATAACTCTCACAGAATACGAGTTCGGTCCATGGTAACACTAACAGAATCCGAGTTCGAACCATGACAAGTCTCACAGAATGCAAGTTCGAACAACGTTCAATCTCATGGAATCCGCGTTCGAACCACGCTAAATCTCACAGAATCCGCGTTCAAACGACACACACACACAGACACACACACACACAGACACACACACACACACAC